CAAATTATCACACAGTCTTTTTTTTTTTTTTTTGGAATTGATTATGTGTAACTCTCAGCTCACCTACGTCAGTGCATCATTATGCTGCTCCCTCAAACACGGCCAATTATCCCTAATGGACAGGAGATTTTTTATGACTGTCGATCCATTTGCTCATGTACAGTTACTATTACGGCCTTTCTAGCATTTGCCCGTGTCACTGTGTCTAGTCGGTACTCACTGCAGAAGCTCACTGAATCAGAAACACACTGTGAGATAGACGTCTTCCCTGTATTTCTTATAATGGCATCGTAGCAGTGGCTTTACAAATAATGTTTCACTCCCTTCTTGCCATTTTTGCAATTCAAAATTATGTGGGTGTTGCTTGAGCTGAATACCAAAAAGAAAGAGTGGAGGAAGGAGACACTTTGGCCAGCAACATTTACATACAGGAAGCTATGGCCTTGCTGGAGAATATAATATTTTCACCAGCCTGTTCACTGAAGAACAAATTTAGGTGGCTGCCTAATGGGAAAAACGCAGGGAGATGACTTAGCTCCTGCAAAGAATTTCAAACGAAATATTACTCTTTCATATGCAGTATCCATGAGACACACTGAGTACTAGTGATGTGAGAAACACAAGACATCTAACTTTTACTGATTAACACAGGGAAAACCAACAAATCTCGACAGGAGGTAGGCTGTTAATGAGACTGTAGGGGGAGCAAATAGTGTTTGTAATAGGAAATCATACAAGAATTAGAATTTGTAAGCAGTTTTAAGAATGTCTATGAAGATTCTCATTCTCATTTTTAGGAATATTTTAATACATTCTGATTCAAACATTTTTAATTAAAAAAATGTGTGAATCATATACCTCAGTGGCCTCCAACCTTTTTTGTACCAAGGACCGATCGGGCGGTATCATCCGTTACTGCGGACTAGTAATACCGTGCCACTGTTAAAGGTTAATTACATTTTCAAAATAAAACATCTTTTAGACTCTATTGGAGTCTGAATGACCTATTGTTTTAAAACATTGCCAGATTGTCTTTCACCAAAAAAAAAATAAAAATATTTAAGATATTTAAGTTAAACTGAAGTACATTTTTTCACTGATCCACTGTTCCACTGCTGCACAGTGGCCTACCAAATGACCTACGGATCAGCACTGGTACCTGGAATGGGGGTTAAAGACCTCTAATATACATCATAATTTTATATTTTTTTGTCTACAAATAAGTATATTCAGTTTACTGTTATTGGGGA